TTGAGGGCTACAGTCATAATAACAAAAGCATCAGCCATAAATATACCCCCAGCTTTTGAATGCTTAGGCCTTTTTGGTACCCTCATAATTGATCTTTGGGTCCAGAAACTATTACCCAAAACTTATAATCAATGAATCAGAATTTGGACATATTTCTGCCCCAGATAACAAGCTCTTCTGGAAGCTGAGCTGGCCCAGAAGTGCTCTTCATTCTGAGGTTCTTGTGAAGGCTGGTGTGTTAGCCACCAACAGCTTCATTCATTCCGAGGCAAATTATGTCTGATGGGTCCGCTTGGCTACTTTAGAAGTCAACATCATAGTTTACAAAGGCAATGTTTTGGCTACTCCCTGATAGAGTGTAGGATGTGCAAGCATTTTCTGGGGCTCCCTTTTCTGGTCCATAAGCCAGAAAACTAAGGATTTAGTTACCTCACTCTGCTGCATACTTCCTGCAACTGTGTTCATGCCAGGACCAGGCAGTACAGAGAGAAAGAGAGAAAGTAGCAGTGCTGGCTTATCCCTTTCTCTTAGGGTCACAGTTGCTCTTATTTAGAATGAAAGTCTTCCCTTATAATTTTAAGCACCTGGAGCCTTTGTCATTGCTGCTACCAGGGTAGGTCAATAGGCTAGAATAGAGTCCCAAAAGTTACATATATCCAAATATGTCCATATTCATACGTATCTATATCTATCTATCTATTACCAATTAATTTTTGATAAAAATGTAAAGGCAATCCAATAGAAAAAGATGGTCTTTTCAACAAATGGTGCTGGAACCACTAAACAATTTTAAATGCAAAAAGAATAATTAAAAACCTACAAGTAACCTAAACCTCACATTTTGTTTATTTATTTTTAAATATATTTTTATTGATTTCAGAGATGAAGGGAGAGGGATAGATGATAGATAGATAGATAGATAGATAGATAGATAGATAGATAGATAGATAGATGATAGATAAATGACGAGAGAGAATCATTGATTGGCCACCTCCTGCACGCCTCCTATTGGGGATCAAGCCTGCAACCCAGGCATGTGCCCTGACTGGGAATCGACCCCAGATCTCTTGGTTTATAGGTCAACACTCAACTACTGAGCTACGCTGGCAGGGCTAAACCTCACATTTTATACAAAAATTAACTCGAAGCAAGTCATCGATTTAAATGCAAAATGTAAAACGTTTGTTTCCAGAAGAAAACAAAGGAGGAAATATTCATGAGCTGGGATTAAACAAAGAGTTCTTGAATGTAACACCAAACATACCAGTGTGGCAAAACTGCCTGAGTGCTGGGGTATAAAAAAACGAGGGGTGGGGTAGGAGGTAGACAATTAAAAAAAGGGAGAATTTCCTGAATTTCTCTGAGCATTTAGAGTCCCTTTCTTTCCCTTAAGTAGGAGCCCACGGGCTCTCCTAGAGCTTCCTCTGTCTGCACCCACTGGCTGAGTTAGGCTTTGTGCTGCCTGGAGTCCACACCGGGGATTCTGGAGGAAAAACAAGAGCAGAGCTCACACCAGTTTGATGGTTTTTAAATTCTTATCTTCTCCAGTCTGCTGCTATCACTTGCTTTTCAGAGTTCTCAAACAGCTACTTTACGAATTCTATCCAGGTGTTTCCTTCTCATTCCACAGATATATATCAATTGATACTATGTGCCAAACACTCATGGAATACAAAAACATACCTCTTTAAAGAAAAAAATTAATAATTTTAACTTTGTCAAAAGTTGAAACTTTTGCTCTATATAAGATATTGTTAAGAGAATGAAAAGACAATAGATATACTGCAATAAAAATATTCACATTCACAAAGCATATACTTAACAAATGTCTCCAGAATAGAGGGTGGGGCAAAAGTAGTTGTACAGTATGGAAAATAATACAATCATTAATAAATAATAATACAAAAAAACTGTATTTCGTGTACTCACAACTGTATACCTACTTTTGCCCACCCTGTATATGATAAATTTTCAAAATTCAACAGGAAGAAAATGAAACAGCTCCCTAATTGGTGAGACTTGAACAGGTACTTCATCGAAGAGTACAAAATAGAACACAAATAATCACATGTAAAGACGCTCATTTTAGAATGATCAAATGATAAAAAAATTTTCAAATGCTGAAAAGTTTGAGTGTTAGCAGAGATGTGCAAAAACTGGAATTTGCATACATTTGTTGGTGGAATGGGACAATCACTCTGGAAAACAGTCAGTTTCTTATTAAGTTAAGCACACACTTACCGTATGATCCAGGAATCCCATTTCTAGGTGTTTAACCTAGGAAAATTAAAACTAATGTTTACACAAAACCCTTTCACCAATGTTTATGGAAGGCCTATCATAACTTCCCAGCACAGGAAATAACGCAGATGGAGATGTCCTTTCATGAGTAAATGGGTAAGTAAATGGAAACATTCATACAATGAAATGCTACTCAGCAGTAAGTATGAAAAAATGATTGATGTATGCAACAACTTTGATAAATCCCAAATACATTATCCCAAATATATAAAGAAGCCAGTTGTAAAGGGTTATGTATTAGATACATACTGGAGTCCTGACTTTCCTGAGGACCAAAGCAACATTAATGTGGATTGTTAAACATCGCTGAAAATAGCAAATAGCAGGGTGAAAGTGGGTCAAAGCTAAGTTACCATTGCCATAATATATAAAGACAGTACTCACTATTGTGCTTAGATTTTTCTCCATGTTCCTCGCTCTATTTGACAGTATTTTGCTATCTAATTTTAAAAGTTATACTCAAATTTAATAAAATTTTATTATATGATATTTCATCAGTTACACATAATATGTACTATTTAATATATCATATATAAATCTAAAATATTTTAGATTTAAAGTGGCCATACCTAGGTGTCTTGCCTGTTATACCCTTTCAAAACAAACAAAACAATTTACCTCACAATAGCATATATACTTGAAATAAGAAAAAAAGCGCCTCATTTAATTTACATACCACTAAGACTTAAACACAATACAAACGTAAAAAGTGATAGAAATATGGCACATATTACAAGCACTTCACTTGCTGATACTCTCAGTACTCTGAACTCTATAAATAATGCCACTGAAAGTAATGATCCCTGAGAGCCATTGCTTGGACTTGAGTTTTCTGAACAGGCCTTCTGTAGAACAGAGAATATACCCCAGCAATAACCTGCATTAAATTGGAAATTAAATGCTAACTTCTTATTGATTCTTTGATCACTCAATTTTAATGTCCATAAAGGTAGTGCTTTATTGTTCTTACCCCTAGATAGCAAGCACAAAACAGTCTCTGATGCAGAGCAAGTACAAAACAAATATTTTGAAATAAATATTTAATAAGTAAGTGTATATCTATACGACTAGGGTTGAAAATAAGATTATATCACTTTGGCATATACCTAGATGTTAGACATCGAACGGTTCAATTTAGACCTGTATTCTTTCATTCATTCATTCTACCAACCAACCATTATATTTGGTTTCAGAATACTTTGTGCTGAGATCTGTGATCAGAGCAGGGAACACAAAGATTCATAAGAAGATATGGTCAATGAGCTCAAAGTCTAGTGTGGGATACAAAGATATAGAGCTCATGTAATTGATACCAATTTACTAAACCTTTGAGAACTATGAGAACATCAATAGTGAATTCCTGTGAGGATGTAGCTAATTCTGACAGCCAGAATCAAGGACCAATTCTTTGAGAAGGCAATCATTCAACCAGGCCCTGAGAAATAGAAAGGATCATGATGGCCCTAACCAGTTTGGCTCAGTGGATAGAGCGTCGGCCTGCGGACTTAAGGGTCCCAGGTTCGATTCCAGTCGGGGGCATGTACCTTGGTTGTGGGCACATTCCCAGTAGGGAGTGTGCAGGAGGCAGCTGATTGATGTTTCTCTCTCATCGATGTTTCTAACTCTCTATCCCTCTCCCTTCCTCTCTGTAAAAAAAAAAGTCAATAAAATATATTTTTTTAAAAAAGAAAGAAGAAAGAAAGAAAGAAAGAAAGAAAGAAAGAAAGAAAGAAAGGAAAGAAGGAAAGAAGGGAGAAAGAAAGGCTCATGATGGATGAAAGGCGGCAGATTATACATTGTTAAGAGTATGAACTCCGAAGTAAGACGGCCTGAGTTTGCATCCCAGTCTGCCATTCCTTAGCTGTGTGACCCTAGGCAAGTACTTAACCTCCCTGTGCATCAGGCTTCTCGTGAACCACAGGAAGATAATACCACATAAGACATAGGGTGTTGGGGAAGGACATTAGCATAATATATGTAAAGCACCACCTGTACCAGGACCCGAAACATAACAAAAGCTAACTAAGTGAATGGGAGATGGAGACAAGAAAGAAGAGCAAGACAGAGGCAACCACATAAAGTCCCAAAGTGGAGTGCTAAAACACATATTTTCTTTTTGTCTGTTTTCACCAGAAAAAAAAATGAAAGCATAAAGTATGTTAAGTACAAATTACTGTGTATAAACTGGGTTTTGCTAACTCAATGAAAGCTTTAGGGCATTGCTCCTTTATTACAACCATGGATCTTTATCCCAGAAAAATGCACAGATGCAGATGACCATACCCAGAACCCCATGCATAATTGTAGGGGTCTGTCCACAAATCAAGGTCAGCAGGCACTTTTTCAACATCCTCCCTGAGGATTAGAAATTAGATCAGAGTAATGGTCTAATGGTATGACCAACTTTCCATAAAAACCAATGCTTAGTATGGAATTATATACAGCCCTATGCAAACAGGGGCCCTAACGTATCTAATAAAAAATTAAACTGTGAACTCATAGAGGAATGAGACAAGTAGAACACAATGAACTTCGCAGCTCCATCTCAAAGCAGAGAAGGGGTAAAGAAGGCAATCGCGGTTAGGCGGTTCTTTGTCTGAGAAGCAGACCTGTGGAGGAAAAGGGCGCAGGTCGTCTAACCCTGAGGAGGAGATGAGGGCGAGAGACAAAATGTAAAAACTGACCGGCTTTGTACTCACATGGTGAAGGAGCCAGGGGGGGCAGACACTCTCCGCAGATCCGCAGCTTGCACCTGATGGAGACTAGAGGCAGCAGGGAATGAGCAGCGAAGACAGTCAGCACAACAGCGTGGACAGACAGGGAACAAGCCCGGAGAGAGAAAGAGAGACACACAAAATTTAAACAGAAATTAAACAAGCGCGTCACCAAACCGTGAATGCAAAGGAAAAATCAAGCCAGCCACGGAAATAATCCAAAAAGCCGGTGGTAGCAACGAAGCCAACAGGACACATGGCGGAGGCTGGCTCTAGGCAAACCACAGACTGGAGCGCAGGGCAGAGCGCAGGGCAGAGCGCAGGGCAGATGTGGAGAGCACTGACGCTGGGCAGAGATGCGGGGCAGGAGGGATCATTGTGTTCCTCTCTTTCCCTAGGTCATTCAGGACATCCAAGGAGAGGAAGCACCACGCACACAGAGACACACACACACACACACACACTCACACACACAAGGGCAGGCTGGCATCATCAACTTATCTCTGAGGAGAGTGAAGGTATATTTCACCCCTTAACATAGTCCTTATAATTCCAGGGCTTTGCAGAAATAGTCGTGTCAAAAGACCACCATGTTGAAAAGACTGACTCAACTTTAACTTCCTTCACGTAAACACCAAAGCTTTTTAAGAACTCTATAAGTGATACCCCCAAAGCCTAAATTAACCACAGCAAAGCCGTAATTCCACTCATATGGTAGAAGATTGAAACCATAGACGACATCTCTCTTTTGTCCCTTCTTAGATTAAGTGGTTATTAGAAAAGACAAATGTAGAATTCAAAAAACTAAAACCCAAATTTCCTATCACTTTTACCTAATTACACTCTCAGTCGATTTGAACAATTTCACTATAGTTGCAATTGACTTAGCTCCCCAGATCCATCTTTTCTGCTGGATGTGTAAAGTCTCATGTACACTAACCCATGAAGTCACTCCCTGTGATTCCACAAGGACTATCCTTTATAATCAATAATATTTCTCAGCAGACGGGCTGACTAGTTCAAAGCTGGCAACTAGAAATCTTGTCCTTAGACAATGCAATCACCCTTAACAATGTATTTTTAATAACTACTGAACTCAGGGTAACAGCTAGCTTAAGACCTCCCTAAACACTGAGTAATGTTAAATTTCTGATCTTTTTCTTTAAAAAAAATTTTTTTATTGATTTTCTTTTTAGAGAGAGAAAGGGATAGGAAGAGAGAAAGTAACATCGATGTGAGGGCGAAACATTGATCGGCTGCCTCCTATATGTCCCCTAACAGGGATCACCCGAAACCCAGGCATGTGCCCTGACCGGGAATCAAACCAGCAACCTTTCAGTGCATGGGACAATGCCCAACTAACAGAGCCATACCAGCCTGAGCAAATTTCTGATCTTTTTCTAACGTGCCTTTCAAAGAGGGAGCATAATGTGACTAACACATTACTAGTACATGAATATGAACCTACATAAATCTCCTCTATTACTTTTTTGTGGGAAGCTATTCGCTAGAGTTCATATTTCGAATAGATTCATAACCACAATAAAATAAGATATATTCCTGTACCAATGGAGGGAGGACTATTGAACACAAATTGGGACTAGTCTTTTAGTTTGTGTATAATAACAACAAAAGTGAATTATAAGCCAAGACGTTTTTTAAAATTATTTTTCCCTTTTTGCATATGTGAGGCTGTACTGGCATTATGAAGAACTCCTATTTAACTGTTTCTCATGGGACTTCCTCCAGTTATGCATGTGAATCAGATCTAAAAATTCTTCCAGTTATTATAAAATATGATCAAGACATTTCCTACATCATTTTTATATTCATGAGAGCTTAGATTTGTTATTTTAGAAATAATTTTAAAGAAACATATCATATCTGTACCATGTGTGAGCCACTTATTCATCATGTAACCACGAGTCTCAGGCACACTGACAGGTACCAGGACCCTAAAAGGAAAACCCCAGGGTTTCCCCACAGAGTAGGGAAGAGAGACAAGTAAACCAATGGTTACACGATTTTTCATAAATGGTATAAGCAAGAGCACTATAGGAGCACTGAGTAGTGTATTTAATGTCTAGAAGTAGATAGAGAAGAGTTATTAGGGAAAGTGATATATCAATGCAGTCTTGAACTTGAGTGAGAATCAGCAGATGAAAGGAGGTGAGGACAACAGAAGTGAAAAGATATGATGATTCACAAGACAGGCTGCTGCTCTAGGACCAGCAATTATCTCTGCAGCATAGGGATATAAGGATGAAGAAGGCAAGGATCATAAAGTCTGTAAAGCAAAGCATATGGGCTTTACATTTTTAGAAAGTTCATTCCAACTAGTCTATTGGAAAAGGCATTATGTGAAGGGCAGCAACACTGGAAATAAGGAAATGAATTATGAGCATATTTTAGGAGTGCCACTGAGAGGTAACTAGCAGAGAAAATGGTTAGAATGTGTGAGAGTTAAAAGATGTGGGAATTAGATAGAAGGTAGATTTCAAAGAAGGCACTGGAGGTGTAAAAGTGAAGGGGACTGAGAGGACTCTAGGGACCAGGGTCATGGTGAATGAGTGGATGGTGGTTCCATTCACACACATGTGAATGAAAAGGCTCATTGGGTGATGAGGAGAACAGACTTAATGAATCTATTAATAGTAGTCCATGTAGTCTGATGATGTTATGAGATATCCAATTAAAAATGTCAACTCAAATATTTAGTGATGAGTCTTCAGTTTTTAGAAGAAACCCTTGTTGAAGATGCAGATCTGAGACTCATAAGCTCATCAGTCATAGATGAAACGTGGGGTGCTGATGAGCTCTCCCAGAGAAAGGGCAAATCCCTGCGGAGCACTGGCATTCAAGCTAAAGAGGGAGCCAGTTGTTTAGGGGAACCACAACACTTAAAACTCAAATACTCACAGTTCGCATGCTATGTGAATGAAGGATACTTTCTTAAGATAAAGGAGAGCCTCTTCTGACTGAGAACTCCCATCTCCTCAACACACAGAGGTTTTTCTGACTAAAATTCTTAAGACAGTTTAGACCAGGCAAATGAAACAGAAGAAACATATAGTCTTAGCAAAAAAGAAAGAAAGAAAGAAAGAAAGAAAGAAAGAAAGAAAGAAAGAAAGAAAGAAAGAGAAAACATGAAGGAAGGAAATGAAGATATATCTTTCAATGATCTCTCTCTGACTTGGCTGCAATAGTAAGCTTTATACAACCATGGCTGGAAGAGAGAAAACATTTTAAAAGGTCTTAACAGGCAGGCTGCCCTTAAACTGAAAATTCCATTTATAAATCTAGTAGAAGTTAGATTTTAAAACAATGATTTCTAGAGAAATAGAAAAAAAGCAATCTAATATCAGAGGGTGAATAAGATCAGTGGGTAAGAGAAATTAAGGTCTAGTGAAAAAGTGTTATATGGTAACTGAGTGTTTTGTTTTCCTTTGAAACGTGCTACCTATATTGATTTTGTAAAAATATAGTGTTGAATGATTTTTATCATAAGTAGTAATAAAGATCTTTCTTATTTTTGAATATTTATTTGTGTTCTCTTTAAAAATCAAAAGCATACTATTAATGCCATTTTGCATGAGTCTTTCATATGACCCAAGGCTGCTTTAATGGAGCCACCACTGCCCCCTGGTGGAAAGTAACTATTTTTGAGTTGAGATGGCTTATTGAACGCCTACCTATCTGTGTTGCTAAATCTATGAAATCACAAAATCTGTCATGTGTGTCATGAGTACAACGCCCCCCCAACCTACTTATATTTGTTTTTATATGTGAAAAAAGCCTACGTGGATTCATAACAATACAATTACTAAGTAGATACAGATTCTTTCTCAAAGGCAAGAGGTGTTTAAAACTAAATATAGTACAGCGGGGCCTTGACTTACGAGTGTCCCGACTAAAGAGTTTTTTGAGATACCAGCTGTCTTTCGGCCGATTTTTTGCATTGAGTTGATAGAGTAATTTGAGTTAACGAGCTCCTTAACGAGCTTGGTCTCAGAACGAATTAAACTTGTAAGTCAAGGCCCCACTGTTCCTGAAAACAATGTCATGTCTAATAAGATTATTAAATAGATAAGTTCCAGACATGAGAATTGGAGTTCCTTGCCTATAAACACTAAGAACATTTAGCTGTATTATGTGTTTTTAACAAGCTACCTACACGGGACCCCAAACAGCCTGAGCTACTCAGAGATGGCTTTTCACTACCAGTTCAGAGACTTTGACCAAACCAATGATTCATGGCTTAACTCTAAGGTTTCTAGAGAGAATGTGGCCAACCATATATCGTTGCTGACATCTTACTTTTTAAAATTTAAACTCAGCTATTGCATAGCCAACCTAATAGAAGGTAAAGATATCAGGAATAAGCTAGGAGCTTCACTAGCTGCAAAATGTAAATAAAACAAGAGATATAGCTAAATGAGACCCTAGATAATGACCTAAGAGGAGTTCTGGGGAAGCCCAGAGTGATTCGGGGAAGGAGGAAGCAGAGCAGAGAGGATATATTACCCCAAGTTTAGAATTCGAAGCAGACACCCAAAATGACCACCCAAAATGAAGAGCCCTGTCTAATGCTGTTCCTCAATGTATACTCTCTCAGAGCGGTGGTCAAGTGTCAGCAGTGACCTTGGCACCCATGTCATTGGCTTATTCTAGGCACTTCTGTAGATTGTCATATCAACTCAATAAATACATGGCAGAGCATGTTCTTGCTTCACAGGCACTAGAGGAAGCCAGCCATTCAGTACAAATAGTTAACCATGCATCACAGGCCACAAGCAGGAAGAGCACCTTGGAGGGTCCCTCACTGTGACAGAAGAATGACCCAAAGGTGAGCCCTGAAATGGCCTTGAGTCAGGGTGGTCATATGGGCATGCTATATAGAAGATACTCAAAAAATGCTCCAAATTCCCATCTTTTTCCATCTCCTTCACCAACCCCAGATACACATTTCAATAAAAATTAGATTAAGGGATGCTAAAAAAAATGAATATCTAGTCATTACCACCTTATCCGAAATCAGTTTATCCAAACACCAAGGAAAGGGTCAAGGACAGGATACACTTTGTTTAAGCATTGCATCATGGGTCAGATTAAATCTAAACAAAAGAATGCCACCTAGAATGGCAAACTGAGCTGAAGCAACGGAGTGCACAGGACCCCAAAAAGGCAGGAGACAGGTGAGCCAAAATCCAGCTCTGCCAACCTCCTGCTGTTGGCAAAACCAGTACTCTCCAAGTGACCTGATTAAAGAGGCAGACAGCCTGACTTCCTAAAACGAAATACAAAAGAACGCATTTATTTGGATGCATTTTATGGCCCCTGATTCTTAATGCGTTTCTGATGATCCCAGGAAACATATACTCAGGTGGTCAGTGGAGAAGCATCGTCAATCTAGCATGTGATACTGTAATGAATTCTAAAAGAAGAATGTGGTCACTGTGTAATAAACATGAAGAAAAAACATGAGAGAGACTAAGGAACTGAGGAGTCTCCTGGACTTTTGCTCCTTTCTCAACACAGTGAGGCCCCAACCATGCACATGCTCTGCGTCGTCCTCTCCACACTCTTTGTGTTCAGGAAGGTAGGGAAGGGGCGGACTCACTCATTGAGTAAAGGCATGGACGTTCTCCTCTTGCTCTTCTGCACCATGTTGGCCTGATTCCTCAAGGAGATCCGAATCATAGCGGGGGCCAGCCTGCAGGGCTCCCCATCCACTTGCATGGGGATGGATTTGTACGTCAGCAGCATGACCTCCCGGCACTGGTGCAGCCTTTCCCCGTGGCCCCCGACTTGCAGGGCAGCCTGTGAAAACAAGAGTCAAAAGGAAGCTAGGAGTTCGTTCTTAAAGTTACTCAGCAAAGCTAGGAACCCCAAGTCCACTATATAGAAGCAAATACCTTTGATAAAGATATGGAAAAGTTTTAGCCAGCAGTAAAACAGGAAGCCCTGGATAAATCATCAATACAAGTAAACTAAGATTTCTAAACTTTTAATGAGCTTCACCATAAATTCTCATTGATAGCCGCTTTTCACTTTTATGTACTTTTCAGCCTTAATGTAATCATGATAGTTTAACACAACAGTTGGCCTGTTCATTATCTATGCATATTGAATAAGCAATTTGAGTAGAACAAAGAGAACATAAAAGAGATAAAGCACATAGTTTAAGAGAGCTTCTAACCTACAGTTGACCCTTGAGCAGAATGGATTTGAACTGTGTGAGTCCACTTGCATGCTCATTTTTAAATAAATATATTGAAAAAAAATTTGAAAGATTTTCTTACTACTGTGAAGAAATTGTATCAATTATGTTAGGCTACCATAAAACAATGAAATTGCTGCTTTTCTTTGTTATCAATGAATTAATCATTATAGTAATTTATTTTTTCAATTATCTTTCCATTTCTGATGCCTAGTGTTAGTAATACATGTAACATCCACAGTGTTTTCTATCATATAAGACAATATTGATGTTGGTAATGACAGATGATTTATCTTGTAAACAGAAGATGTACACTTAGAGTATTGATAAGTAATACAGTATTGTAAATGTATTTTCTCTTCCTTATGATTTTAATAACATTTTCTTTTCTAGAGCTTACTTTATTTTAAGAATACATTATATAATACATATAAAATACAAAATACATGTGTTAATTGACTGTTAATGTTATCAGTAAGGCTTCCAGTCAACAGTAGGCAATTAATAATTAAGTTTTGGGGGGGCCAAAAGCTACATGGATATTTGACCATGTGGGGATCAGTGCCCTTAACCCTTGTGTTGTTAAAAGTCCAAGTGTATATTTAAGTGTAAATATATGTTATAATAAATATATATTGTAGATTAAATATACTCATATTTAAATAGCCCATTCTTGGTCAATTTTCTTCTTTTTCTTTAAAAAAAATATTTTTAATTTATTTCAGAGAGGAAGAGAGATATAGAAACATCAATGATGAGAGAGAATCATTGATCAGCTGCCTCCTGCACGACCCCTACTGGGGATGGAGCCTGCAACCCAGGCATGTGCTCTTACCAGAATCAAACCTGGTACATTTCAGTCTGCAGGCCGACGCTCTAGTCACTGAGCCAAACCAGCTAGGGCCCTTGGTTAATTTTCAAACTTAGGCAGGCTTTTCCTTTTTATCTAAAACATCCTCACAAGCTACTTTAATCTGTGTCTAATATGAAATGCAAAATAATATTACCTCAAAAACATTCTGAAAATAAAGCAGTTTTGAAGAACAAAATCAGACACAGTAAGAGCTCAGTTCACAATGGTGGCAACAGAATGGAAAACTAGTCCAATATTAAAAGTCTATTGTTAAGAGCAACAAATTAGGGAGAAACTAAGATGGCGGCATAGGTAAACACCGGGAAATTGCTGCCTCCCACAACAACTTCAAAAATACAATGAAAAGACAAAACGGACATCATCCAGAACTACAGGAAGGCTGGTTGAGTGGAAATTCTACAAATAGAAGGAAAGAAAAGCACACTGAGAGCCAGAGGAGCTGCAGAAGTAAAGTGCAGAGGTACGGAGGCTCGCGCGCGCACGGCAAGGAGCTGGCACCTGAGGATTCGGCTGTCTTTTTGGATCGGGAGGGAGTCACAAGCTCCCAACTGCTCTGAACTCCAGTTCCGGGAAGTCTCTGGGGACCCAGGACTCATACAGGGAGAAACTGGACTGTCTGGCAGCAGGCAGAACTCTGAACTTGAGGGTGGCTTTCCCTCAGAGGTGACACTGAGACGCGAGGCCCCTTAGGACAGCGCTGAGGATCCACCATAGCTGCTTGCTCCGCCCTTTGATTCCCTGAGACCCCGCCCCACCCAGGCTGCAGCAGAGGCTTTTGCATATGAATGCCCCGGCCCTTTGCAACCTGAAAATTACCTAACAAATTGCAGCTGGGCCAGACAGACCCAGAACTTCCAAGAGAAGGCCCAAGGCCCCACAGCAGCTTGCATTGCTTCACAGCTGGGCCTCATCGGGGCACCTCCAAACTCCAAAAAAGGAAGGGGAATCTGCAGTTCTCTTCGTAGCTCCTGCTGGGTAACCTCCAAGAGCCAGTGTACCCAGTGGTCAGAGGGGGACCATCCGGATTACAACTCCTCAGATCCATAAGGGACACACTCAGGGGGCAGACTCAGTGAGCACCAAAGCCCCACTGAAGCAAGTCTTGTCCCAGAAGGGTGTCTTCAGCACAGAAGTTCTCCCACTGCAGACACAGCTGATTCTCACTGCCAATTGGCCTGGAGGTCAATTCCTCCCAGTGATCCTACAACAATCAAGGCATAACTACAACAAGAATGTGCCACAAACTACAACAAAGCCCACAAGGGGGTGCACCAAGAGTGTCCACCTCAGGTAACTGGGGAGGCTGAGCCACTGGGCCCTATAGGACACCTAGCACACAAAACCACTCTACCAACACAGGGAAGCATTAAAAATGTGGAGACAAAGAAACAGGTCACAAATGACAGAAATGGAGGAAAGCAAACAACTGGATATAGAGTTCAAAACCACGTTTATAAGGTTTTTCAAGAATTTTATGGAAACTGCCGATAAATTTAGTGAGACCCTGGAGGATATGAAAAAAGACCAACTAGAAATTAAGCATACACTGACTGAAATAAAGAATACAGACTCCCAACAGCAGACAAGAGGATCCCAAGAATCCAGTCAAAGATTTGAAATACAAAGAAACAAAAAATACCCAACCGAAAAAGAAAAAAGATTCCAAAAATATGAAGATAGTGTAAGGAGCCTCTGGGACAACTTCAAGCGTACCAACATCAGAATTATAGGGGTACCAGAAGAAGAGAGAGGGCAAGATATTGAAAACCTATTTGAAGAAATAATGACAGAAAACTTCCCCTACCTGGTAAAAGAAATAGACTTACAAGTTCAGGAAGCGTAGAGAACCCCAAACAAAAGGAATCCAAAGAGGACCACACCAAGACACATCATAATTAAAATGCCAAGAGCAAAAGACAAAGAGAGAATCTTAAAAGTGGCAAGAGAAAGACAGTCAGTTACCTACAAGGGAGTACCCATATGACTGTCAGCTGATTTCTCAACAGAAACCATGCAGGCCAGAAGAGAGTGGCAAGAAATATTCAAAGTGATGAATAGCAAGAACCTACAACCAAGATTACTTTATCTAGCAAAGCTATCATTCAGAATAGAAGGTTAGATAAAGAGCTTCACAGATAAGAAAAAGCTAAAGAAGTTCATCACCACCAAACCAGCATTATATGAAATGCTGAAAGGTATTCTTTAAGAAGAGGAAGAAGAAAAAGGAACTCTTACCATTTGCCACAGCATGGATGGAAATGGAGAGCGGATAAATACCACAGGATCTCATTCATTTGTGGAATATAATGAACAACATAAACTGATGAACAAGGACTGATCCAGAGACGGAGAGGCATTGATTGGACTGACGGGCCTTGGAGGGAAGGTAGGGGAGGGTGGGGGTAAGGGGGAAAGATCAACCAAAGGACTTATATGCAAGCATATAGGCCTAACCAATGGACACGAACAACGAGGGGGGGGGGGGGAGGGCATGAGCGGGGGCGAGGGTAGGGGGTAATGTGGGGATAAGGACACATATGTAATATCTTATTCAGTAAAAAATATATTTTAAAAAAGCAAAAAATTAACATAACTACCTTATATTAGTAGTAAATTATATATATTTACAGGTGCCCCCCAAACATAAACACACTTTGAATAATTATTAATTCCAATGGCTTAAATGTGAAAAGAAAGAAACATCAATTGACTATCAGCTGTTTAGTGTGTATACATTTGGGGAGGGGGACCTGTATACTAGTATTTAGAGAGTATTATTCACCTTTTTAAAGATAAATGAAACTCATACAATGCACATTTGGTTATAACATATCAAGTACCCAAAAAATATTATACAGCTTGATGAATAAGTTTTTATATATATGGGGATCTCCATCCAATCAAGCTGTGGACAATTCACAGCAACCAAGAGGTTTTACGTGCCCCTTCCAATCAACTTACACTCCTCCCACCAACCAGTCGGTAAGCACTATTCTGACTTCTATCACCATAGATTCAATTTGCTTGAATTTGAACTTCATATAAAATAAATCATACAATATATACTCTTATGTCTGACATCATTTGCCCATCATTATTTTTGAGTAATATATAACAAAATGGATTTATCTGATCTCCTGCTGGTAAACATTTATTTATTGATTTAAACTTTCTGGTATGTATCTCTTGGTGGACACATATTCTCCTGAGTACGTACAATGAGTAGACCTGCTATGCCATGAATTTAGATGTACACTTGACTTTAGTAGATACTGCTAAATAGTTTTCCAGTAAGGTTATATTACAATGCATTTTGAGTATCAATTTATAATTAAGAAAACTTTTAAAAGGAGACAGATACTACTAACTCTAACGCCAAATCTAGAAGATTTACTTAAGAAGAAAAAAATAAAAACATACATACTATCAGCTTGTTTCCATATGTTTCATCGCTACAAATGGGCAAGAAACCTTGTTAATTGATTTGTGAAGTCAACTTCAACTTGCTTGCCATATATTTGTATTTATTTGATATTTTGCATTATTTTTTGCACTTGCATTAGTTTTAACAGTAGAAACCTGCTTATCTATCAATACAAAGAGAAATGAAACACAAGGGAATGAATGGGGGAAAGAAAATAGAATAATAATGGAAAAGTAAAGAATTTACTGAACACCTTCGAAGTTAAAGCACTCAATTGTGTCCTTTACATACAATGTTATTCA